AGAGAGAGAGAGAGAGAGAGAGAGAGAGAGAGAAAGAGAGAGAGAGAGAGAGTTCTTCCTCTTCTCAGTCCACCATCTCCCCCTCACCCTCTCGCCACCTGACTTCACTGCATCAGCAGACTACGAGAGAGCGGGATTGGTGACATTTGGATCCAGACTCGACATTGGGCTTCAGTCATTTGACGAGGGATTATGTTGCATACTGTAACGTGCAGACCAGAACAAGAACCGACCTCCCAATACAAAGTACAAGATAACACAGCGGAAGACTTAGATACGAATGATCCGAACAATCAATATTGCAATGCAGCYCTGAACACACATCATCATCATCGTTATCTGGTGTGAAGGGGGTCTGGCGCTTCACACAAGAAGACTGCGCCAGCCCCAACCATACACAGACGAAGAACGAGGGGTTAGACGAAAGAGGAGGGGAAGATAGGAATGTCATCAACACCAAGTCTCGGTACAGGCCCAAATAGTCCCTCGTCGAAATGTCTGAATCCCAATGTCCAGTCTGGATCCAATGTCGTCAAGTCTCAAGTCACAACTCTGTCTCTCTCTGTCGTAGTCTGAGAAGTCAGGTGGCGAGAGGGTGAGAAGAGATGGTGGACTTAGAAGAGGAAGAAGAAGAACTCTCGCTCTCTCTGTGTCCAGTACTAACCTGTGAAGTTGGCACCTTGATGCAGGTACCACGAAGATGGAGCTGGCGCGATGTGCCACAGGTAAGTACCACTGGCCTCCGCCAGTATCTCTCCCACTCTATGATCTACCACCTACCAGCGCCCAGCGCTGAAGACTAGCTATGGGCGCCCAGCGCCGAAGACTACAGCTAGCGCTACTACTACTGCCTAGCGCTGAAGACTACTGCAGCACTCCTCCTGAGTGCTGCGGCCGAATCCTGAAGACTACTCGTGCCTACTGACAACTACCTACCCGTGAAGTGCATGGGAACTTCCTATGTACTACCGGGTGTGCCTCCTGAGCCGTGGGAGCAGTTCAAGAGGCTGCTCTTGCCAATGCCGAAGGGAGGCAGGGGCTGCAGCTGCAGCTCCTGCTCGAGCTCGTGAGGAACAGGCTATTTCTGGCCTGTTCCGCATCCCTGTTTACGTGCCTGAGTCTTAGGGGCAGGTCGAAACAATGAGGGCCTGAAAATGGCCCTCCGTTTCAGGCTGGAAAAACTCTGGGTCTGAAAGACCCAGAAATAGGCTGAAACGGAGTAGGGCCTGCAGGCCCTCGTTTTTCAGCTTTCAGGCTGAAACGACCGGGGCCTGTAAGCCCTAAGTTTTAGGCTTTTAGGCTGAATGTCCGGGACGGGCCCTGCAGGGCCCGTGTGGCTATGCAGTATGCCACAGATTATCTGGGACTTGTACCGAAGACTTGGTGTTGACGACATTCCCATCTTCCCCGTCTTCTTCGTCTGATACCATCCTCTTCGTCTGTGTATGGTCTGGACCTGGCGCATTCTTCCTGTGTGTAGCGCCAGGCCCCTTCACAACTTGTGATGAGGATGATGTACGTTTGGTCTGCATTGCGACATTGATCGGGCTAGTCATTGGTATTCTAGCATTCCGCTGCGCTGTCTTGTACTACGTGAGAGAGGTCAGTCCCGGTCAGGTCAGGGCTTATATCTAAGTCTTCCACTGCGCTACAAGGTGCCATTTTTGTATGTATCAGGATGTACACTGCTTGTTGAGATTCCACTAGCACTGCATTGTCCATTCAGTCCTTTTCATCATATTGTGGATCCTTGGCTATATATACATCGCCCAACTGGGAATGTAACAGTTGGTATCGGAACACCGCACGTGAATCAGGACAACCTGATCTGACACGTGTGCGGGGACTAATTAGTTGATTAGTCTGGATTGATTGGTTGATTGATTAGAGCACACTAATTAGCCCCCAAAATCGTGATTTTGACCTAACAGCCGAAAATCAAAATTTTTTCTTTTCTTGGATTCTGTTTTCCCGCTATTTCTATTGTGGAAAATCGCAATAGCGCAACACCTGAAATTCCGTTTTCGTTTTTCTGAAAATTCGGAATTTCGCTGTTGGAAATCCGGAATATATTTTTTTTTCAAAAATTTCGATTTCCTTTCGCAATTTCCCGTTATTTGGAAATCCGGATTTTATTTTATTTTTTCCGAAATTCGTTTTTCGAGATTTGAAAACGGTACGGGAAACCCCTCTTGCAGTTACCATTTTCCAAACTGCCTGTACTCTCATCTGAGTAATTCCGAATATTTTTTTATTTGTATTTTTTTTTTCGGAACTCCTTTATCGGATAATCATTTGCAGTCCGAAAGTTCGGATTTTTTTTCCTCATCGGTAATTTCGCACTTCAGGGGGAATTGGGAGGCCTACTGAACTTGCAAAGTTCAAACTTTTCTTTTTTATTAGTGGCTCCTTATCAGGGCGATTTATCCCACCCACCCCTCCCCACCTATGTTGTTGCCCCCTCTGGTCTTCTCTATCTGTCTCCGGGTACCCCCTGCGGCGACATTGGTGAGTTGCCACGTCAGCAGGCCACGTCAGCAGTCGAGCAGTGCCACGTCAGCAGCAGGGAGTGCCACGTCAGCAGTCCTCCGGCCTGGTCGATGCTCACGCGCTTACAAACAGCCGGCATGGATCAGAAGTCCAGGGAAACGACCGAGGCCTGTCAAGCCTGGATGCTGGCTTTGATTACCGAAGCCAAGAAACGGGCGGATGAGGTAGCAGCCGCAGAGAAAAAGAAGGCAGAGGACGCCGAGAAGGCACGTCTGTTGGCAATCGAACAGCAGCGCCAGCAAGACGAGGCAGCAGCAAGGGCTGCTGATGAAGAACGAAGTCAACGATGCGAGAAGATATTCAACGCAGAGCGAGCCTTGCTCACAATGGCAGCGGACTGGCGGGCCGAGGCCGAGAATGGTAAGATGGAAGAGAGTGAAAGCAAGATCGCTCTACTCCTCTCCCATTTCATGGATCTCCTGGCAACGTGCATTGCACAGCAGGAGGACATTCATAGCCTCGGCGACGCGGTTCAGACACACAACCAGGCGTTTGATCAAGTCAACAGCCGCCTCCAGCAGCTGGAGCAACGACCCGTCACCGCCCCCCATGCCAACTCCTCCAACACCTCCAATCGCCTCAATGCATTGGAGATCGACGTCGGAACCCTCAAGGACGACACGCAGCTACAGCAAACGGCCACGCAACAACTGGAGCAGCGGATCTGTGCTACCGCCGCCAACTCGAGTTCGGCACCGCGCGAGACGACTTCAAAGTTCGATGGTCAGGAGATCTTCTGCGATTCGACGAAGACGAACCCGATTCCGTGGTTCCGCAAGTTCGAGCTCAAGTTGCAGCTACACCATGTCAGCGAGGACAAGCATCACGCGTACTTATACTCCCGGTCGGGGGGGGCGTGCCAAGCATGGTTGGACAATCTCTTGTCCAAGTATGGGGTGGTAGCTGCTGACTTGTACGCCAAGATCGACAGGGATGATCTAAAGGCGGCGTGGCATACGCGGTTCCAAGTAGAGTCACCGGAGATCAAGACAATGGACAAATTGATGACCTTCGAACAAGACACGTTGCTAAGTGTTGACTGGATTGCCGAGTACCAACGCTTGACATCCGTCCCAGACATTCAGATGGGCTTCAAGGCCGTCAAACACTACTTCATCTCAAGGTCGTGTCCGGCGTTGGGCAACGCCTTGACTCACGTCGAGGAGACCTTGACGATAACGACGGAGCTCTTCGACAAGGCCGCGTAGATTATTGTCATGGAGAAGGAGGTTAAGAACTTCAACCGTTCGTTTGCGGCAGGCCCGAGCAGAGATCAGCATCGGCCGAAAGTGGTCGTGGTCGCAACGGCAACTTATCATCTTCAAGTGGTTCTTCACGGGATTCGGCGTGCGAGTTCAACATAGAGGTATTGGACCTGCTCACATTCGAGGATTTGACATGGCTTCCTCTCCCGACCACGGGCCATTTGTCGGGACCGCAATGCGTAGTATTATGCGCTCATCTTCACATGTATCTATCCTTCTACGCACCACCAACTTCGCCGACGGAGGACGAAGCTGCGGTGGGGGACATCCTTGCGTATGTTACCAAGGTGGCCCGCGAGTTTCGCAAGCAGCGATACGATGACAACAACGCACCGCTCCTCTATGTCCGCATCCAAGTTCGACAAGCGTCCTGCAGCGCTTTGTTGGATAGCGACGTGTCTCGCAATTTCATGAGCCAAGCCTTTATGCAAAGGGTTGGCCTTGGCGCACAAGTTCGGAGGAAGGCAAACCTGATGGCGATCAAGTTGGCGGACAGAAGGATGCAACAACTTATCGACAGCTACATCGAGGCCGTACCGGTGTATTTCGCACCTCATGCATGCGAACCGGTGACGTTCGACATTTTAGACACGGATTCGACATTATTTTGGGAATGCCTTGGCTTGCAAGTGTGGATCACACGGTCAACTTCCAATGACGGACTCTTACCGTTCAGGACGCCTTCGGCGCCGAAGTGTCGTGTACTATTCCTCTTCTGCACCCTTCGATTTGGTGCCAGGTGGTGACGGCCAAGTCATTCCGGGCTACTTGCACTTACGAGCAGCCCGACAAGATATGCCTATGCTTCCTATGGACCGTTGCGGTAGCCGATTCTTCCCCCACGGACTTGTCTTCGGACTCCCGTGTGCTGCGATTGCTTGATGAGTTCACCGACATCTTCGAGTCACCTACCGGTGTGGTGCCGGATCGGCCGATCTCTCACGAGATCATTCTTGAGCCCGGTGCCGTGCCGCCGAAAGGCTGCATTTACCGCATGAGCGAGGAGGAGCTTACGGTCCTCTACTCGCAACTCGATGACTTGCTGGACAAGGGCTGGATCCGCCCTAGTAGCTCCCCATATGGAGCACCAGTTCTTTTCGTACGGAAGAAGAACAAGGATCTACGATTGTGCATCGACTACCGCAAACTCAATGCGCAACCGTCAAGAATGTGGGGCCTCTTCCTCGTATTGACGATCTCCTTGAGTGATTGGGTGGTGCGAAGTACTTTTCTAGGTTGGATCTAAAATCAGGATACCATCAAATTTCGATCCGGCCGAACGATCGCAAAGCCCACCCTCTACGGACAATTTTCAAGAGGTCGGCGACATCATCTCCCAGCGACGCTACGGCAACAGGCCGACCGAATACTTGGTACACTTTGCGTACTGCACCCACAAAGCTGACCGTTGGTTGACCCGTGCGGAACTCCAAGCAACAGCTCCAGATGTTCTCGCACGCTACAAACGCAAGATGCAAGGCAAGCCGGTATCTTCGGCTCCACGTCACACCCGCGTCCAGGTTCCACCTTCAGATCGTCAGCTTCACCCTAGACCCGGCTTGACTTCATAAGGAGGGGGGGTGTTACATACTGAGCCTGCAAACGAGGGCCATTTTTAGGCCCTAGGTCGTTTCAGCTTGAAAGCCTGAAAACAAGGGCCTACAGGCCCTGTGTCGTTTCAGCCTAAAACAGGGCCCTCCAGGCCCTGAGTCTTTTCAGCTTGAAACGGAGGGCCATTTTCAGGCCCTCGTAAGATCGACCTGCCCTGAAACTTAGGCACCAGACCAGGGTTTTAGCACAGGCCATTTTGGGCCTGTTTTCAAGACAACCTTTGTTTGAGTTTCAACGCCAGGGTCTAGCACGTTTTGGCATTGGCAAGAGCAGCCTCCTGGATGAGCCAGCACTGTATAAGACTGGCCCACCCTGCAGGCTGCAGGTAGTTCATAGGGACTTCCCAGGCACTTCATGTGCAGTTCAGGAAGCAGGAGGTAGTCTTCAGGATTCGACAACAGCACTCTGGAGGAGCACTGCAGTAGTCGTAGTTGCGTTAGTAGTAGTCTTCAGCGCTGGGCACTATTAGGAGCTAGAGTAGCACTGGAGAGAGATAGAGATTGGGCGGAGGCCAGGGAGACTTACCTGCAGCGCCACAGCTCCCGCTCGTCGTCGAGGTACCTGCAGCACAGCGCCATCTTCACAGGTTAGTACCTGGCACATGAGAGAGAGAGAGAGAGAGAGAGAGAGA